AAAATATTTTGCTTTATTGTTTTTTGAACTGATATGTACTTTGAAAGAGTTAATAAAAAGCTGTACTGCCATTCTTCATTTCAGATACCATAGGGTCAACCAAGCCTGGTGTAGTGCCTGATTAAGATGTTTAAGGACTTTACGCACTGAAAAATTTTGGTGCACTTTGGGTTAAAGAGAAAAGTCCTGGGTGCACCTGAACATATTTACACCAGCTTTCTTCCCATTCTTTCACTTTCAATCTTGTTTAACATGTTCACTACTAAAGCTGATTAAGTGCCTCTGTTCCCATGTGCCAAGAGCCTATCTGTACATTTTATGCTTTCAAATTATTTTCTGTTGTTTTATTATTTAAATACAGATATAATAGGTTTTGTAATAGTAATTAAATTCACACGAATATACTTGTAGTTTGTAGTTTCTATATGAAGTAAAATTTTTGCTTGCTGTGGCAAATATGAGATAATTTGGAACTAGATATTCATCCATTCTGGGCATTTCATGCAAAACTCTTGCTTGTGGGATGCTTTGTTTTCCATTAGTTTTATACGAGTCACTGAGCAAGAATTTGGGCAGACCTTAGAAGATTTTTGAAGAAAATAATGACCCATCTCTGAAATAGATTTTATTTTAATACATCTAGTTACTGTATGTTTTGAGAAATAAATCAACAATCATTAAGCCAAGTGTGTTAAGTCTTTTCTTGCACTCTACATACCTAAACACTGCATACGTTCACTACAGGAATATTCAGTCATTTATATAAGGCGATCAATCATCTTGCGTAGCAAGTAAACCCAGTTTGTGAACTAAGAATATTTTCAGAGATGCGGCAAAATTATCAACTGAACCACACATTCCATGGTAAAACATGAAATTTTTGTGGTGCCCCCTTTCCTTGATGCCCTAAGCATGTGCTTATTTTGTTTAATGGTTAATCAGCTTTGACCTTGTGTTTAAAAGACAGGTAGTTAGTTCATTCTTGATTTTATCTCTGGTGAAACTTTTTTTCTATGGTATTTCATGATGCTCTGGATGTCTAATGTAAATATGAGCCAAATTATCTTAGGAAAACCTCCAAAGCTTAAGATAGTCTTCACGTACTTTATAGCAAATAGACCAAGATAGTGTTTATTCTTTCATGAAACATTTCTCAAATGATTTTGGAATTATAAATCTCATTTTATACAAATGGCTTTCCATTTGAGGAAATTTTAAAAATTTATTTAGCTTATTTGAACTTGTCAGTCTTCCGTGATTTTGCCTATCTTAGTGCTGACAAGTTATCCACTTTTCAAAAAGTGTGTATTATAAGAAGAATTAATGTTTTAATTAAGTTTAGAAAAACGTAATAATGATGTATTATTGTGCAAAAGAGCACAATAATACATCAAAAATGCTGCTTTGTCAATATACAAAAGACAAACACATTTTCAGGTGTTTCAGGTTATTTTAATTATGTATTTAAAATGTAATGCATCACAAAAGAGCACAATAATATGTCATGCTGCTTTGTGTATATATAGAAGATAGAAACACGTTTTCAGGTGTGTGTTCATTCATCAGAGAAAGAATTTCCACATGAAGCTGTTTTTGAAATGTTTCAACAACTAATATAAAAGCACCACTATTATCAACAAGTAGTATAAAAATAGCACTGGATGTTTTTCCTTCATATCCAACCAAAGAGCTGAGATAAAAATTAACACACGAGTGTATGAGATTATTTTGCTTTACAAGCACTTTTTCTTGTATATGTAAAAAATAAAATTTTACACATTCCTGGATTTGAAGAGCTCGCACAAAGAGAGTAGAAGTATCTACAACAAATTTTATTGGTGTGCGACTCCTTTTAAAATAGTAAGTCTTCTAGTAATTTAAGTTTCGATGCATTTATATATGAACACTTCTCAAAGGCTATTTGGGCAAACAATAGACCAAAGATAAATAGGCATCTCTTTTTTTTAAAAAAAAATCTTCTAGAGGTGAAATCAGTGTCCATTTCAATGGGTCTGTCAAAGAGACAAAGCAATTCAGTGGCCTCTTGTTACCTGCTGATCTAATTTCCTAAAGAAATTCCAGAAACTTTTGTATGAAGAAAAAAAGTTTCTATACTTATAAGTGCTTCCAGTCTGACAAACATTTTGCTTCTAGAAACTTTTGTATGAAAAATTTTTTTGTATTTCTAAATGCTTCCAGCCTGACAGAAGGATTTTGCCATTTTTCATACATACAAAATAAAAATGTTTTTAATATAGAAGAAAAATTAATATGCTCATTTCAATTTTTTTTACACAGCACCAAACAGGGAGATAACTAATTTTCTTTATATTTTTCTCATACATTACTTCGAGTAATGTTTTCCAAGTTACAAGAATTATGTATAAATGCATGCATTTTCAAATCAGATAATATATACGGATATGCTAGATAAACATTTGCACATATAAAATACATATTCATTTATACATAAAAATGAAACAAAATTTGAAAATAATGCAATTTAGGAATTACTGTATTAAAAATAAAAATTTGTTGCCTTCCCCCCATTATATATGCATTTATTAAGTTTTTTGACAAAATTTGCTATATTATTTGAATACGGGAAAGCAAATGAAATTTTTCTACCTAAGGAAAGGGATGTCCTAATGGAGGACTTTCTAACAGCCAGTTTACATCTGTTCGAGCAGCTCGTAATGAGCCGCTCGTCCGGGTGTCTCGAACCGATGGAAAGGACCTCTACTCTGATATTGTTTACACCAATCAGAGTGGACAGACAACTTGCCTCCGTTTGTTTACAAAATGGAACAGACATGGCAGCTGCAGTGCTTGAAATCTGCGAAGCAGTTTCAAACTAACTAATTTCTGTTCTTGGAAAAAAAAAAAAAGAAAAAGGAAATGAGTGCGTGACTGGGTAGCTTGCCGCGATGAATTAGGAGTATCAAATCAACTATTAAATGAATTTCAGGATGAGAATGTCCAAAGTTACAAAATCTTTATTGTATTTCAGATACAAGGACTTAAAAATATATTCTGTAAATATAATTGAAATTTATTCACATTCAAAATATATTCATTAATCCACTTAAGAGAAATTCAGTTTATTGAGGGAAGTTATTTAGTCAACTGTGGTTATTGAAATTCAAGTTAAAGTTATTCTACTATATATAACCGTTTATTTACACCTAATTAATCATTTACAAAATAATGTAAAAGTAATATGCTTTATTATTTATTAATAGAAAGAATATATTTATTCATCCAGAATCTGCAGAATCAGTAGCTTTCTGTGAATGTAATTAATTATGCAGAGTTCTGACTGGAACTGTATTATTTCTACGAGCAAATTGCAAAATTAACACATGTAATATTTATTCAAAGCTACCATTAACACAACACAAATAAACTGCATAATATCTACCTAATTATTCAGAAAATATCTTAAATAAATAAGAAGTAGCAAAAAACTTGGGATCATTACATATAATATCATAGGTAACAAGAATATATATATTATGGCATAGTTCCAAAAGGAAGACATTTATCGCAAACTGTTACTTTTGGATCGTACTGAAATTGTGTTTCTGGACAACACACAAATAATGTATAAAATGATATCAACAAATATTAATAATAATTAAATATAGTGGTTACACTTTACTTTTAAAATGCTGGAATGGATAGTTTAAGAAAATTAGGATTCATCTAGCATAATTTGTATAAACCGTGATACACCTTCAGTACTTGTACTCAGTGTTTCACATCCAAGCTGAATTGTAACAAATTACAGCCCAGAATGTTTTTATATAATGCAACAAATTTAAATGTACCCAATAAAACAGATCTACATATTTTTTCATAATTCCATTTTTATAGTTTATAATATATTTACTACATCCTCATGTAGGAATGCTTGTAGAAAAATCAGTATAAGCTCACATAATTATAGAAGTATGCAACTTATTAATGAAGCAGTGAAGAGTTCCATAACACTTCATAAGATATGTATGCATTAAAAAATGCCATGGTTTGGCTATCGCTCCATCTCGGCATTTTCGACATTATAGAACTCACTGTCACGACGTCTCTGTGAACGCTGCTCAGAGTAACTGCTCAAATAGATTTTTCAACAGGTTCAAAGTAGAAAAGGAAGCACTGACTCATCTCCCATACGTTTCTACTCGGTCGAAGTGAGCGTTTACACTGTCAAAGTAATCGTTACAAGCTGCTCTGACAGGTATAAACTGGCCTTAAGTAAAACTGAATCATGTTCATATTACACATGGGAAAACCATGTAACCCAACCATGCAGTCAGTTCATTCATTTGGGTTCAAATACAAGTCAAATGGTAGAAACAGCGGTCTTAGCCAGCTGGTGAGATTTGACAGATTTGAAAAACTGAAAACAGTAATAAATTAAAACATTAAAGGACAAGCCAGATCAGCAAATTCTTCAAGCAAACAAACAATTTGTAAATAAATTTTTTATTGCCAAATAAGCATTGGGGGGATGGGTAGATCTCTTGAAACTCCCACCCCCCTTTCCCCGGACAGACAGCTGTGCACAGGTTTTAACAGTATAGATATTAATAAGTAAACCAAATTTATAAAAAAAATATTTATATCTTGTATCTTATGCAACTAAACCTGGACACAACATATAATTACATGGACAAATTGAGTGTGATAACACTGATAAATTCAAATATTAAACAAAACATGCATTAATTCTATATAGAGAAATTTTTAAACATATTTCACCAAGAATGTCTGGTGGCAAAATCTTTATTTTAAATTCATCACATACTTGATATTTCGAGAAAACTATGGATCTTTTCAGTTATAAGACAACATACACAAAGTAATTTTTCCTAAATAAATCTATGTGCGAACTTGAAGCTTCCAGTGAGATTTCGATGATGTTAAAATGTTTCTAAACGTAAGAAATTTGTCACTTAAATTACTAGTTTTCTCATTAAAGAAAAAACAAAATAGCATGACACGTCATTAAAAATACTTTATTAAGGATTCAGATTCCAAAAACAAGGATATTGTTATAAAAAATAAACAACACATTTCATTAAACACGGCCCAACTTTGGTGCACACATTTCTCAACAGAAAAATATTTGAAGCATGTTACATGATAATGGTTTGGTTATGGCTAAGCAATTGAGTGTTATTTATCTAAGGGGAAGGCTATCTTCATGGAGGATTTCCTAAGGGAAACTGGCTTATACATACATTACATATGAAGAAACCATGGGTGCAACTACACAGCCAGGCCCTTTGGTGAGGTTCAAAGCGCAGACTAAACTACCAGTATTCAGCGACTAGTCAGCAGTCTGATAATAGAAATGATCGAAATCTCATACTAGACGAAAAATGGCAGCCTGGTATGATAAAAATTCATTTCTATTTCAGTAGCATAAATTGACTGTTGCAATATTGTTTTAGCTTATGGCAAAGTACACGAGGAATATCTTTTAATACATTGGTAGTTTGACCTGTATTCAAACTCCTGCGAATGGACTCGCCGCATAAGCATTTTTGTGGTTTTAACTTTATGTAACATGAGTACAAGACAGTTTTCCTTAAAATATTTTACATGAAAGCATACTTCCCCTTAGGCTTCGTATGCTTTGCCATAATCTAACAAACCAAACCCCAAATGAGGACTCGTAGTCAAGGCACATCTTCATGAAGGACTTTTTAAATGAAATTGGCTCATGTTCACATTAAGCATAGGTAGGAAGAATCCACGAAAGCTGCCATGCAACCAGTCCATTCACCGGGATTTAAACCTGCTTAAAATTATCAGTACAGTTCAACGATATTATTAGGCTGCTGGGAGGGCTTTTGGAGTATCTATATAAAAAAAACTTTGCAAAATAATCACAAAGACAATTATATTACGTACCAATAGATTAAGTTAAGAACTTAAAGAATAACTTTCATTCATGTTTACTGCTACCGCTAACATTTGGAGGGATATTAATCTATTTTACAATGACAAAATGTTCTTTTGACGGTAATTTTTTGTGTGCGGAATATCCAACCCTTCCATATACATTCCAGTAATTTTTTAAGAGATTTTATACCAACAGATTTCTTTCCAAAACAACTTTCATGAAATGAAGGTTTTTCCGCAGAATTTTTAAATCTTAACAAATCTAAATTTATGTTTATTTCAAATCTTAACAAAAATTTTTTATAACAAAAATTCCTACATATTCTTTCGCCATATTGATTTATTTGATTTAACTGAAGTTTTTGAGTAGAAAATCTTCCTTTCAACATTCAAGAAATTTTTATATGTACATTCATGTTTATAATAAACACAGTCACACATATGAATACAAAACTCAGGCATGCTGAAAGCACAATTTCCAAAATGCAACCCCCCCAAAAAGGCTACTTGCATCATTAAATATTTTTTCCTGTTCTTGCCAATCATGAATTGTCACCAACTTTTAATGCAAAAATAATAAAATATTTAATTGGGTAATATATATAATTTTAAAAGGACGTCTTATATTACAATTCTGATTTTTTTCCCGTTTGTACTAAAATATGGTAATGCACTATAACAATGGGCAATTCTATTTGACTTTCATTAGTAAAATGTACCACAAGGTAAACTGTTGTAAAATTATTTATCTATTCACAAACTTGCAGTGGCCAGGAGGATAATACATAACTGCTATCTGATAATGCTATTTCACTTGCAGAGGACTCTTTAAGTAAAGTGCTCTATTCAAACAGACTTCATATCCTATTAAGAGCTTTGTATCAACTAAGAGCCACCTGCAGAAACAAAGCAGAAAGAAGACTACAGCGTATGGTCTGAACACTTCTTAGGCATTTCTGCCCAAGTTTGGGCTTTGTGTATACACATTTTAACCATTTCTCAACAGATGTCAGTTTCATGTAAAGATTTCTAAAGATTTTTAAATGTAATACAAACACATCTGTTATAATCATGTAATAAATATCTAGAAACTGCAATAGATAATGCAATACAACATTCTGTCCTTAGCTCTCCTTTATTTTCATAACCATTGCTCATATACTTCCTATTATAAAAATGTTTTAAATGATGAAAATATTCATTCTTATAATAATAATCCTCTAATGTGCTTGTTTATGTACAGAAATCTGCATAATAATATAAAAAGCAAAATATATAAATGGTAAGACCTTTATTAAAACAAACACATCCTCAGTTGGATGAATAAAAGGTACAAAAATTTAAACTTCAAAAGATATCCACAACAGGTTATCACTTATTTACATGTTTTAGAGGCAAGCAACCATTTTTAATCTCACTTTTCCTAAAACACAAAGATGACCTTGAAATGAAAAACGAAACAGATATAGAACATCAGTGCAAAGAAAATATTTAATAATAAAAATAATTTGTTAAAATCAGTCTATATGTTGTGATTTTAAAGATTATAAGCATAACATCAGCTGATAAAGTAACACATCATTGAGAAGTACCATCAGATTTAAAGCATTTGCTGGCCCCAAAACTATTTTATATGTTATATTTTATACTTCAAAAAATATAACACTATGTAACCTGTCCCAATAATGTCAAAGTGAGCATAGCACTGGCACTATGGTTCTCAAATCAGAGGCTAGGAATGGCAAATTATATATTCACAAAAGATTATCATTGTTTACAAATCCAAAAATTGAAACAATATTTCTACTTCTTAAACAGATTGGTAACCCTTCTGACGACTTCGGCGACGTCCAACAAGATAAGCAATTAACACAACAACTATAAGTGCAGCCAAGGCACAGCCCACAGCAATTGGGACAACATCACTCACTTTATAATCAGAATCACATTCCTCAGCTGAAAAATTAAAAAAAGATTACATTCAATATAAAGAAAAATTAATTATAAAACAAGCTTTTTAAATTAAAACTACATTAAACTATATAAAACTTCACAGGATTAAATAAGACTTCTTAAACTTTAACCAGATATTATACAAAAATTCTGTATCAAATCATACAACAGCATGTCATTACACTAGTTATTGCTATCATTAAGAATGCTTATCAGTTATAAAATTTTATAGGAATAAAATGTACAAATATTTAAAATTTTTAAATTTAGAATTCCATAAAAAATATCTAATTTATGATACCTACCTTTTAAATGTCTATAGCATTTAAAATAAAATTTCATGAGATAAGACTCGTGCAATTATTGCTTCCTATTAACACATGTGTACTATTTTAAATCAGCAACACCAAATAATTTTTGAAAAACGCATTTTTTTTTATTTATTTATTTATTTTTTGTTTCACATCTAGCAGTTTCCAAGAGTTTAAGTTACTTTTAAGTTCTAAAATTTCAAATTTTGCTTAATCTGTTTTATTTTTTTCCCCACATTTTATTTCTTTTTATTTCACAAATATCACTAATAAAACTTTTTCAGTTTAGGAAAAAAAAAAAAAAAAGATGCTTCAATCAGCATTCATTCTAACAAAGGAAAAAAAAATTATTTCAATTCTGTTAACTTATCTCAAATTTTTCTACAAAAGTGCAAGCTTAAAATTAAATTTTCAACAATACAAAACAGAATTCATTACTCCCTTTATGCACATTGCTAATAAAACAAAAATATAAATAAACTAAAAAAATAAAAAATCTATTATTCTCATCAGCCTCTACTCATTGCACCAAACAGCTAAGTTGAGTTACAAAGCCAGCGAACCTGACTGACCAGCCTATCACATATTTCAGAAGCAGCTTTTATCTTTAGCAAACAGGAAATCTGAATGTAGTTCTTTTACACTAGTGTGCTACTTTTAAGATTTTAATAAAATGAATGATTGTTTTATGTACAGAAAGAATGTTACAATGGAAGGTATTAGCTGCAAAAATTATGTTACTGCTGAATGTTACAGAATGAAAGCAGCACACAGAAAATTTAACAGTAACATCAGTAGTAAAGCCACAAAGAGGCTTACATTTTGACATGGACATTATGGACGTATCTTAATTGTTTACAAAATAAATTAGCTCCACTTGCAAGGAAACTAAAGCATAAAAAGAGAACAAACCTAAAAAAAAATCAATGACTTAGCCGGTCAACAGACTTTGACATTAAAACAATTCTGAAACACAGACCTTTGAAGTGGTGAAAACCAACGTTCTTATATAGTTACAATATTCCTTTTTCCGGCAACAAGCATTTATCCTTTATGTGTATGATCAGTATACAACCATGTCAGAAATTCTCTCAATAGAAACAAGTGGCTGTATAACCTACATATTCAGTAAATATCAAATGCTTAATACTGTACTGAATGATTAAAATACATAACTGCCAGATAAAGTGCAGGATTAAACTGCAGTTAAAAAAATGAATTTAGATACTAAAAAGAAAGTTCAGGGTCAAGTGGTTACGGCAATTCAAGATAGAAGAGGAGTGGGAGAACCTCGGACCCTCTCTCCGGGGTGCTCTCCATCAAAATTGAGGGGACTGAGCAAAGTCGTACTGTCATCTGTATAGTGTTCAAAGCTCTTCCCAATGACAGGCACAATCTTTCACTCCTAGTCACAATGAATTTCATGGGCTTCTTCTGATGTTACTGTCAGACAGGTGAGATAAATCACAACAACAAGAGAATAACATCTATAATGATCATGTTATTAGTGCTATTCTGGTACTGAAGGTACATATTCTAAATTCCATAAATACTGATAAAAAGATTGCATATAACTATGCATAAATAGCCCAAGCAACAAAAGCAGAAGTAAGAAACGTAAATACACGAATAAATAAAGACAAATAAATACACAATGAAATAAAGTGATTTGGTAACAGGTAGTGGACATAAAACTAAATAAAAATGAATATATATTAAGAAAGTTATTGGTTCTTACAACTTTAGAACATTTGGATTATAATCTTAAAGCAAATGGCATCTAGAAATTAATCATCACAGATAAGGTATTAGGCCTTGAGTATGGCTCAAAAGTATTAATTAGGCCTATCAAAGGCTTAAAAAATATATGAAGTAAAATATTTGTTACAGCTGTTAAAACCTATGGATGTTGCAATGAATATGTTCTAGTTTGAAATTTGGTTGATTACTAGAGGCTTATGGATAATCAAATGGAAACATATGAAAAAACAGGAACAGTTTCAAACAGACAATAACTCAGTATTACATGCTAGCTTTAAGCATTTATTTACTTCATTCAAAGTAAATGAGATCTAAAATATGAAATGAATGAGAAGAAACTGGTAGAATACAGACACACATTTTTTGCCTTATAACTTTTCCCACAAATAAGCTTTTTTCTAAGATACACTTACTTCTCCAATGAAGTCTTAAAAAATATGTCAGCTTCTACATGATAATCTAAAGTTAATTCAAATGATGATTGATAAATCTTATTTGCACAATGATGACACTGCAAGTATGCTGGGTTTCAAAGAATATTTTCCAACTTTTCATTTATTCATAATAAATTGAATTCTTAATGTTTTTGAAATAGCAGCAAAACTAGGACTTCTAACATAAAATATTTTGTGGAACAAGTCAGGCACTACCTTGAATGATTAGTCTGCTGCTACTTGACCTATAAATAAATAATGCAAGTAGCTAAACTTTTCAATTTTAAAATACACTCACTTTCAAAAGTTAAGCATGATGTAAAATGCAAAAAAATCAACAAATACTGCTTTGATTGACACAAAATTTGCTAGGAAAGTAGCATATGTATTTATGTATAAAACAGAATCAATAATTATATACAGAAATGAAAACAATGTTAATTTTTTGCAAGTTATCAGATAATGACATACTGAAGACTTAAACAGAATTATGTATAAAGTGAAAATAAATAGCATAAAATAAAAAAAAGAACATTAATAGGGTATGCGATCCCCCCCCAATCCGTATACAAAGTTTACACCTTGTGACCATGCTTAGGTGGTCAACCACCGCAGAATTAAGCAATCACCATTCTTCTTGTAAAACAGTCTCCAGCTCAATAACAGTGGCTGGAGGTGGGCAACATGAAGATACAGCATGGCCAAGAGCATCCCAAAGATTTTCAATGGGATTAAGGTCGAGCAAATATGCTGGGCATGCCATACGTGCAATCCCTTCACTCTCCAGGTAGTCATCGACAATGTCAGCTCTATGGGGACGTGTGTTATCATCCATTAAAACAAAAGTAGGCCAACTGCTGCAGCATACAATCTCACAATGGGTTCTAGGACTTCATCTCGATACCAGACAGCCATTAAAGAACCCCGTTTAAAGATGTGCAGGTTGGTGCAGTATCCTAATGAATCCTAATGCTTTAGACAGAAGGACGGGAAAAAACTGAAATGTTTCGGATTTTAAATTACGTCCAAAGAGGCATTTTTTTTAGCGTTTTGTGTGCTACCTTTATTTATTAAATATCATGTTCTTTGCACTTAAACCATAAAGTTCAGTTCAATAGCAATGTCGCAAAATCTTTAGAATTTCCGATACACAGTTCCGCGCACTGGAGATAAAAATGTTTTCCCCCCCATAGAGTGTTGCCATTGCTTGCTTTTAAATCGTTGAGTTTGTTACTAAAAAATTCGTTAAAGTTTTACAAAATATGAAATTGATAATAAAGCAAATTACAAATTTTTCAGATGCCATATTTGCAGGAGGATTAAGTCATTCTAAATTGGATGGCTCTAGATACCATTATTTTATCACAATACGAGAAATATACGTAAATTTATGCAGATTTTTTATTATTTAATTTTTTCAAATATAATGCAGGACTAACATTTTGTGGCAACACTTTGAAAAGTGAACCAACATTTATAGGAGTCTGATGCAAAATGCCAAAAATGAAAGCAATAGTCCTTCGGGACTCAAATCCCTTTGGAATAAAAAATTATAAAAAAAACTGCCTTTTTAACTCCTAATGCATTTTTTAAGTTACTGTGTATAATTCCAAAGTAGAAAGCATTCTTTCAATCCAAGCTTATGAAGCTCTTGCTATGCTCCCCACTTCAACAACATCCATTTCTCTCACCTCTACACATTCTTTTGGAAAAGCTGTTGATTTTCTACCACTGAAATATAGTAACTGACTTATTTGCCTCATTTATCAAAAATGATTCAACAAAAAATTATAAATTTCATCATAATGCTTAAGAAAGCAATGTTTCCATGTTTCTTTTTTACCGATTTCAATGATCACTGGAGGCACTGAGGGGAACAAAAGTTAGGAGATTGCATTCTTCATTGCATTGGCCTATCACCTGAATTGATGATATGGGTTGACACTGAGTAGACATTCTGCTCACCTCTACTCTGTATATCCAGTATTCTGACCTACTACCTTTACACTGCTACCATTTTAATGTTATTCTTTAGGGCCTCCATTGCCCTACCTTTTAAAAGAACAGTGCAAGAAAATGTTACACACACATTTTCTCAATAAACAGAGTGTTCAGCTCCAGTTGTTTTAAGTGCAGCATTCTCTAAAATCTCTCAACTGAAAACTTTTGGTCAATGGCTGCAGAGAGAATTGACACAGCATCAACTGTCAGCCAGTATGAAATATGAAGTCTGACATAAAATTGAAGCCATAGGAGCTTCAATATTGTAGTATCTCCATACCTGTGGTAATTTTTCAAGACATATGTCGCAGGTACAAGAAACCATGGATACCAGGGAACATCATGTAAAACAAATATCCACGTAATGCATCAATGGAATTTACTTCACAAATCTGGCAAAGCTATATTAATAATACAATTAAGTAAAATTTGTTCTCCAAAATTTTTACTTTCTCACTAGTGCATATACTGAAGAGCTAAAACATTATGACCACCT